ACTAAATGAAACTAATGACAGGAAGGGCAACCAATTTTCTGGTATTGAAGAATGAAGGAGAGGGTCTCATTTCATACACATGGAGTGAGAGAAGAAAAGGCTTTTTCAACAAATTCAAGAGATTTAATTTTGCAAAACTTCCAATTGATGACAATTCAATCTATTATCATTATTGTGGAGTTACACCCATTTTATACATACGTATAATGTGTATAATTCTGCAGCTACATTTTCTAATACTTTTTTCATAAAGCCAACTTAATTAGTCAATTTCTCATTCAATTCTCAATGATTTTTGATCATTTTTTGTGTGATGTAAAGACCTTGTTACAAAGAATCTAAACTAATTTAATCTCACCTTAACCAATGATTATGACCTATTTTAATTTCACATTAAAGTCACAAAAAAAACTATTTTTTTCCAACAAAATTTACCAACAGTTAGAATCATATATCCACCCGACCATGACAAACACACAATTATACACTTGAACATAACTTTCAGAAAAAGTCGATATCGACTTAACAAGTTTGAATAATTTTTATGTAAACAAACAAAAGTTGAAAATAAGTTTTTGCTCGTTAAATTATTAAAACAAGCTTGAATAGTTTCTTACTTAATTTGACTTGACTCGTCATGTTTTTAATCCTAATAAAAAGAAACGATACAAGGTTAGAGATAATCTTAAACCATCTCCAACTCTTTTTTAATTTTTTCATCAAATTTGATTTTAAATTTCAATAAAAAATTTTATTTTATATGAACTACTCCAATCGTTTCATCAATTTTTTTTAAAAAAATAATCTTTTATCCCATGTTTTCCTTTTGATCAAATTTGATGGGAAAAAACATATCCAATGTTTCATCTTTTAAAACTTTCATCAAATTTAATTTGATTGAAAAAAAATTACTCTCATTTGATTTGATAAATATTTGATGAAATGGTTGAAGATAATTTTGAAATACTTGATTATCAAGTTTAAATTTCATGAAACAAAAATAAATAAATAAATAACAATTGAAGTGGAATGTAATTTCAAGAAATATTTCCTTGATACTCCAACACTATGTTTGGATTGGATGATTTGGGAAAAATGAAAAAAAGAAGAAGCAAAAGAGAAATGTTTGATTTGTAAGTTGAGTGAGAAATTGTGAGAAATAAATAATAATAAAAAAAGGTGAGAGACAATTATTTTACTAAGCTAATTTCGTTTTTCACCAAAAGTTGTGAGATATGTGATAAGAAACAAGTTGATTGGTTATAAAAAAATTTAAAACGCTAGTATTGCCCTTGAAATACAAAGAAAGAAAAATGAATCTCATTCATGTCCCTCTCTCCGATGCTTTGTTTTTTAACTCATCAAAATATGATGATGAGAAAATACAATTATTATTTTTTCCCTCATGTAGATAATGCAGGACAATCTTCACTGTAATTAAATTAATTAATTCTGTTTGGATATTAAACGACAAACAGAATATAAAAGAAAAATAGGAAATGAGAGAGAAAGTTTGATTACAAAAATCAAACTAGAAATAGAATTAAATAAATAAAAAACAGATTTTATTTTGTTACAAAAATAAAATTAAAATCTGATTTAAATAAATAATAAAACAGAAAATAAATAAATAACTTACTTGATTAATATCTTGAATATTATCCTAATCAAGTTCAGTGTTCAACATTGTCTCCTTAGGACAGATTCGTCCTCTCTACGGTGCTTTCAGAATATGAACGTCAATCTCCTAGGATGAAATGATCAACAACAAATAAATGCAGCACTACAATTTATTTGTTCAACGAGCACACTAAGTGTTTATACTCTTTCTCACAAAAATTAAATACAGCAAAATGAAGAATAAATTTACAGATGAGAAGTACGAAATTTCTATGTAAAAAACCAAACGAGGGACTAGCCTATTTATAAATGTAATGGCATCCATTTATTTTGAATTGAACAGGTAGCATACCTATTTGAACAGGTACTGAACATGTTGGGTTTGAATTGGTATTGATTGGGTTCAAATTTGAACAGATAAAATCGGAACAGCATAGATTTGAATCTGTTCGAGTTATTTGAAATCCAAACAGTTTCAATTTTGTTCGGGTGGGAGAAAACAAGACCCAATTTTGAATTTAAATTCTGAAAATCAAAATGAAAAAATTAGAATTTAATTTTAGAAAATAAAATTCAAATGTTTTTGACCAAAAAAGATTAGTATTACGCCGGACAAACCCAACCCTAACCCAGCCTAGCCGGACTGCGGCGATGCGCGTGTGGTGATTTTTGGGTCCTATGGGTCTAGCTCATTTTGCCCATAACCTCCATCTCTACAAAACTTGGGTACCCCTTGGGGCACACCCCAAGTTCCAATCCCATGCCTTATAAACCCATTCAAAACTTCCCACAAAATCAATGTGGGACAAGCCATTTTCCAACCTTAAGGAATTTCCACCAAAACTCCATTTCTGTGGAGCTCACTTTGACTTCAATTTCTCATTCACCCGATAATGGTTTTGAGCAACCAAATATACCACGTGAATCACAACGCGACATAGAACGCGTTACCACTTAGACCCGTCAACTTAGGCGCACAGGTCCCACCTAAAAAATAGACCAAAGTCTGGAGAAATTTTTGTTTTTCTAGAATTTCAAAACTAGTTTCTAACAGATAAGATATCACAATAATTTCCTTTATTTTCTCATCTAAATAAAATATCACAATCATTTATTTTCTCTTCGTTAAGTTCTATTTATTTAGAAAGAAAGGAATAATAAAAGTAAATATGGTAGAAAGTAAAGTGAAAACATAAAGAAAAATAAATGAAAATTTATTTTCTAGCATATATTTGAATAGATAGAAAATTTTGTAATAAAAATGATAGGAAAAAATAGGGAGTTGTGGAGAGAAATATGGGCAAATATAAGATTAAAATAAGTATTATCAAATTTCATGAGAAAAAATAAATTTTCTGATATATTTTGCAAGAAACTATAACACTATGTTTGGGAACCTAAGAGAGAAAATAAAAGAAAGGATTACTTAAGTTATAAGAGAAAAGAAATGAAATGAAATGATTGTGATTTATCTCCTTCTTATATGGATAAGTAAAATATAAAAGAAAAGAAATGATTATGATTTCTCTCATTCTTATTTGGTTAGATTTCATAAGAGAAAAGAAAAGAAATTGTTTTATGTTATATTACCAAAATAACTTTTTTATATTTTCAATCATTTTATTTCTTTTATTTTTACAGGGACAAAATTAGTATTATGAAAATAATCGTTTATTTTCTCTCCCAATCTCTCCACTTTTGGAAAGATTGAATATGAGGGTTATAAGAGAAATGAGTTTATCTCTGTTTCTCTTCATTTCTCCCAATTTCTCTCCACTTAAGTTATCTAAATAAATAAGAAAAATACATATCTCTCGATTTCCTTTATTTTCTCTCAAAATCACTCAATTCAAACATAGCGTAAGACTCTCTATCTAAATTAATGCATAATTATTATTTTTTCTTTTTATTTTTTTTATTTATTTTTTATCTAACCAAATTAAGCTCCAATGATCCAAACAGAGTGTAATTTACCCCTAACAAAAAAGGAAAACAAAGAAAGAGATAATTATCATTTCATGAATTAAAATTTATAATTTTAATTATTAATATTTATAATATTTACTTTTTTGTTAATATTTGTTCTCAATAATTGACAAAAAAAAAAAAAAAAAGCACATAGAGAAATAACAATATTATAAAACTACCCATTATTAATAAAAAATTTATATAAAAAAAAAAAAACTCAGATTCATTTTATAAGTAAATTTCGCGGTTTGTCAATTCAGCCTCCGTTTGGGAAGTGGGTTGGCTTTTTAGTTTTTTGGTTTTTTTGGCTATTTTAGCCTGGGCTAAAAAGTTTGGTTTGGGAAGGGCTTTTTGGCTTTTGGCTTTTTTGATTTTTTTTGTAAGAGAAGAGTGTAATGATTATGGGTTGGATGTGATGTTTTGTTTGTTGTGGCTAAAATAGCCTGTGTTTGTCTTTTGTGGCTATTTTAGCCCCAACCCAACTTGCCAAACACCACCTCAATATGTATTACACAAATATACTCTCCAGTTTTGTCAATTCAATATGTATTACACAAATATACTCTCGAGTAAATTTGAGGTGGGCATCACACAAATATATTCTATAGGGGTGGGTAACCGTTTATTCGATCTGTAAAAATTGCTTAACTCATATATAAATGGGTGGTTTCGCAAACACGATGTAAGCAGATGCGGTTTGAAATATGACATGTTTGCAGATTACGGATTTGATTCGCACCAGAAAGAATCCGCGCCGCACTTTTTTTTTAAAATTTTATTTTTTATTTTAATCGTTGATTTCATTTCTATCCCATCTAGATATTTTTGCCAAAAACAAAACACCATTTATTTTTTGAATTTACTCTAGCATTACATTTGCTAATAATATTATATCAATTGAAACTGAATAAATATTAATCATATTATTATTGTTACATAACTAAACTTGTCCTGGATGAAGTGTGATTTAAAATTTTAAATTCTTTAATGAATATGGAGTTCGAATTTAGGATTTTGAAATATGTACTTGTGTTAATTTATAATTTAATTTAAGATTTTAAATGATTTGTTTGTGTTACTAATTGATTTTGTTGTGTTTTTAATTTTATAAGTTTTAATTCATTAATTATTAATGGTAGAACATTTTAGAAAATGAAGAGAAAAATGCCAAAAATAAATATTTACAAAATGAAAAAAAATAAGACTTAAAAATAAATTTTTGAAAAAAAAAATTCAATATGCAAACTGCCTGCAACCGCCCACACATCCGTACAAATCACAAACCACACTGCAAGCAATTGCTGATTATTTTTTTTCCAAACTGCATAGACGTAGCCGGATCCAAACCGATCCGCAAACTGTCTAAATCCGAATCGCGGTTGGGAGTAAATTCGGGTCCGGTGGGTTCCTGCAATTTTTCGTATGGAAAACTTGAGATCCAACCCAGCTGAGGTGAGCAGCGGGGAGGGACACATTTCCAAAACCCAGGCTCTCCGTGGATCGGTAAAATTTCCTCAACGATGCAGCGATGGTGCACCAAACTTCGATCACTGGCCATCCTTCACTCTACCCACAAACCCACCCAACTCTCTGTCTCATCATCATCATCACCATCACCATTTTCCCATCGTCTCCTCCACTCTTCTCCTCAGTTTCTTCACATCCCCCTCTCATTATCCCTGATTTCTTCCAATTTTAAGCCCCTTTTCAATGCCTCTTCACCCTCAAATCATCCTTCGCTGCTCAATCAGATGGTCCTCTCGCCTCCTCTTCCCCACCTCTCTGTAAGTTCGTGGGTTTGTTTTGTTTTCTATTTTTTCTGCTTTGCCTGTTTGGTTTCAGGGAAAATGATGCAGTAGGTGCGTGCTGATTGTTGTGGGCATGTTTTAGTTTGACTCTTTTCTGCTTTGCCTGTTTGGTTGTTGAGAGAATGTAGCAAAGAAAATGCAATCCAAATTTTATCATTGAAGCATTTCGTTTAGTTTTATGTTAATTCGTTTTCTTGGCAGCCAAGCAGTGTGTTGAGTAATGATTTTCATGCCATGAGTGCTTACTGATTCTGGGTACATTTAATTTTATTTGTTTTCTTTGTTGCCCCCTTTGATTGCTGTGAACATGTGGGATACTGGGATTACAATATGCAATCCAATTTGTGCGATTGAATTTATTTTTTATATTTGTTCTGTTTATCTTGGCAGCCATTCAGTGTCTGAAGTAGGGGTTTTAATTTTTATGTGATGGGTGCTTACTGATTCTGGGCATGTTGTAGTTCTGGTTGCTTTCCTCTTTTTGTTGGTTTGGTTGCTGAGGAAATGTAGTGAAGAAAATGTAATCCAATTTTTGACCAATGAACTACATATTGTGTATATATATATATATATGAATCAGTTTTTTGGCAGCCAATCAGTACGTGGAGTATTGATTTTTTATGTAATGGGTTTTCAGTAATTTTGGGCATTTTACGAGTTTTTTGTGCTTGATTCTTAGTTCATTCAAGTGCGGCATCTCACGAAGAAAGAGATGAAGGAGAAGATGAAAAAGTTCAAGCCGAGGACACCTGTTAAATCCAAGCTCAAGAAAATCAAAATGAAATGCTATTCGTAGGTTTATTGCTTTATCATGCATACATACATGAATAGATACACATGTATATATCATCAGTCCAGAGGAATTTATTCTGATGAGTTTTCTTGATCAGATCTTTTAAGGGCAGATTTAGGTTAATGCATGATGGCAATATTAGGCGCTGGAAGGAGGGGAAGCGACACAATGCACACTTAAAGGTCTGCCTATACTTACTCTTTAAATGATGGTTGTTTGGCATGTGCTAAAACAACACATGCTATTTTAGCACATTATCCTATTTAGGTTACAATTATCTTATTTAAGTCACATCACCTTTCTATCACATCACTTCAAACCTAACCCATATTTCACGTTTTTTTGTAAAAATTCAAAAAATATATTAATCTAGCACTTCCCCAACAACCCCTAATTATCAAGTAGCATATGGTTAAAGAATCTCTGCGTAAGAACAGAAGCTGTTGAAATAATTAGAAACAAAACTTAGTGGAAGTCTTCATCTTATATATTTTTGAATGTTTTGTTACAACTTTTCAAATGGAAGCATCATTAGATAACTTAATGACTTGCTAAATGTTTGCTAAATGTTGTTTTATTCATCTAACTTTTAATAACCCCTAACTTTTCAAATGGAAGCATCCTTGCTAAATGTTGTTTTATTCATCCTAGTTCTATGTGCTTTTGTTTGTATGTACAGACCTTTGTGTAGTGACATTTAAATTTCTAAAAATTGATGTAGATGAATTTAACATCGTGAAATATAAAACAAAACTAATTGGAGGGAGAATGTGAAAAATATGCATTGCATGTATGCAATCTTTTTCTTGATAAAAAGATTGCAATTGTCTTGAGATTTGTCAATGGATAGCGTCCTTGTTCCATAAGTCTATCTTGATAGGCTATGTTACACAAACTAGGGTACGAATTGGTGCGAGTATGTGTTGAGTGTTGAACTCATTTAATTTTCATACCCAAAAGGTCACCAGATGGCTAAATTTCATTTTTCTTAAATACGTCTTTTATTTATTTAGGATAATGTTTACAAAGTAACTTAGGGTTTTTTATGCATAGTTTCATGGTAAATTTTACTACTTTACATTGATGATATCAGTAAATGGATGTTACACAGTCCAAGTGAGATGGATTTGGGTTTGACAATGGTGGGTTGATCTTCCTCCTCAGTATGCATCTGCAAACAAACCCTCAAGAGGACACTGGTGGTGTCATTCTCAAGAGCTCTCTGACAATCAAGTTAGAGTAGTGCTTAAAGAGGAAGATGATGAAGGTTTAGGGTTTAGAACAGACAACCTACCTTTCATAGTGTAGTTGGATGTATATATATAAACTTGTCCCTCATGGTTATACTCCGCGCGAGAAGAATAATTCCGTTAGTCTTTCCTCCAATCAGGGGTTGCCACGTTGGCCCCCATCATTCTAGGAGGTTAAGGTTATGAGATACGTTTTTTAGCTAGCTGGCTACGGTTTCATGTGTCCTTGTTTCTATATCCATAAACTACAAGCTCTTGTGCAGGTTGGGACAGTGAGTCCCTGACCAACTGACGATGATGAATGAGTTCAGTCAAGAGTGGACCCTCTTGACCAGCTCAATGAGGTCATCCACTTGATTTTCATGATAGGTTATTGGGCACCCAACCTCTTACCGTGCTGTTTGGGCCATCGGCCTGGACCACCTTGATGGACTATGGGCCGTGGTCATATGTATGTATATCAAACGTTGGATACATGCTATGAAGCACGGACACCTCTCTGAGGGCTCCGTACCAGTGTCGGACATGTGTCGGACACGGACACGCGGTTGACACGTGTCCGACACGCAGCAGAGAGTGTCTCATTTTTTTTTTTTAATTTTTTATATCCGGACACGTTCCGGACACGTTATAGACACTTTCGGGACACGTTCGTAAGTAATTTCACAATTTACATAATTTGTTTGGGGTCGATTTGTAAATAAGTAAAAACAGATCAACATCTGCCCTAATCTAATTCGATTAGAACAGAAACAGAAGAGAAAGGGTGAGAATGAGAGGACCGGGTCGATTTGTCGTTCGTCGTTTGTCGTTCGTCTTCGATTCTCGTCGGTCGTCGCTCCTCGTCAGTCGTCGCTCCTCATTGATCGTCTCTCGTCGGTCGTCACTCATGTCTCGATCGTCACTCGTGTCTCGTCAGTCGTCGCTGCTCTTCTACTTCGATCTTCATTCTTCTTCTTCTTTCCCTCAGTCGCTCTCTCTCTCTCTCGTTCTCTCTCTCAGCCTCCATCTGATTTCCCTCCGTCGCTGTGTCTCTCTCTCTCTCTCAGCCTCTATTTGATTTTATTTTTCTTTTCTTTTCTTTTATCTTTTCTTTTATATTTTGATTTTATTTTTTCTTTTATATTTTGATTTTATTTTTTCTTTTCTTTTATTTATTGTTTTATACTGTGATTTTATTTTATTCTTTCTTTTCTTTTATTTTTTTCTTTCATATTCTTTTATAAATGGTCAGTGTAATATCTCTCTTCTTTTGTTCTTTTTTCTAATTCCATTTTATGTATAAAAAAAAATTGATTAGTTTTGTTCATTTGAATAATATGTATTGACAATATAATAAAATAAATAAAATTAATTATAAAATATAATAAATAAAATTAATTATTTTTTATTAGAATAACATTAAATAAAAAAATAATTTTTTAAAATAATTTTATGACATATAATAAATAAAATTAATTATATATATTAAACATGTCCCCAGCGTGTCATGTCCCCTATTTTTTGAAAATTTGTGTATTTACGTATCCGTGTCGTGTCGTGTCCCGTGTCCGTGTCCGTGCTTCATAGGATACATGTCAAACAACATATTAGACACATATATCCTAAGCCAAGTGTCAAGGGTCTGACATGGGTACTCATAAATATAGAAGAGTGAGCCCCCCATGTAACGCCACTGATAGGGCCACTTAATGGTAGTTTCTTTCATGCTTGTTGCTGATGAAGCTAATTGTGCACTGTGGTTGTTGACTTCACAAACATCAGTGAATGCAGTTTTTTGACTTTCCTTGCATGTGCCTTTCATTAAGGAAGATGAGAGAAGCTTATAAATCTTGGGATGATTACTTATAAATTTTTTTTTTTTCTAATATGGCCATATAATAATTTTCCAAAAAAGAGAGTATCAACACAGAAGAAGTAACAGATCATAATTGTTACGTGGGATAAGAAGAGGACTAAAATTTAGCCAAGGATTATTCTCATGTTTAATGGTTGAGAATTGTAGAGGCTGTTTAGATGAATTTTTTGTTTGAATAGGATTATAGGTAGGAAGCAGTAACTTTAGCATAAAATTGTGATTTTGATTTAAAAATTGGCAAGGAATTGGAAAAGAGTTGTACAGTTGCATACAAGCACATGGGGGATTAATGGTAAAAGTGCTAGAAGAGGAGAATATGGACAAGTTTATTTTCCTCATTTGGTGCAACTTTTAGAGTTAAAAGTTGATAATCTAATCACAAGCTAAAAGCATCTATTCCCTAGCTTGGGAATAATCAAATTTTCCCCCCATCTTATTTATGTCAGTTTTGTTTCATAAGGCTTCCTTTGGAGTAAGTTAAAAAAATAGCTTATTGGCTAAAAATAAGCCAACAAAAAAGTTAATACTAAAAAAACTAGTTCATTTGGCATATTCTTAATTTTTTAAAGCTTTTTTAAGTGGTTAAAGTTGATTTTTTAGTGAGAAATCATTAATCCTTGTGGATACTTGTGCCACGGTCGACACGTGGCAAACCCCTCAAGCACTACATCATCATTGCCTTAGCCACGTGGTGGACCTACAAGACACCACAATGTGCTCTAGGACTAATAAGTTTGTTTGCCTAACCTAAGCTAGGCATACACACTACCGAATGTAAAACACTCAGCTCAATAGATCAACTGCCGCCCCAATGGGTAGGAGCCCCAGAGCGAATGAGTCAAGTATGAAGAGCATGACACCGGAGCTAGGTTCACCCTGCAACACCATGGCCAACCTCAAGGCCATGGTTCTTCATACCTCAATCAAGAGGAAATGCACGACACTATTTCATTCTTACTCACTACCCACCCAACAGTAGCATAGTTAGCCCTTAGCTTGCCATATCCACTGGGCCGCTTAGGTTGATCCCTTGGCTTACCCATGTGCTCACTCGTTTTATCACTTGGCTGACTAGGTTAGGAGCAGGACCAAGGCACCCTGCTTAGGATCATAAAAGGATTGTGGATTGGAGGTTAAGACCATGGGATCGTCAAGGTTTGCTTGGTTGTCTTCTTGCCATGACATCTCTACCTTGACCAGGCTTAGAGAGAGGCGATGTTCATCTTACACTTGCGCCTCTGCATGCATGATACGTTGCCCAAGATATTATACCTACCGGCCTGGACCGTAGATGACAATAGGGCTGATATCAGCTCCTTGTTGAATTGGGGAGCTTGCCACTTGTCTAACAGGTTGCTTGGGTTGTAATACTTCAGGAGTTTATATGACATATCATGTATGCAGCAACCAACAACAACAACAACACATGTATCACAATACACAAACTTGTTTCAAGGTCTCTCACTGCCACCCTGTCTAAGGACTGACCACCTTCCGAGAGGTCAACAACTGACCACCTCTAACCTCTCTTACCCACACTCCCAAATGAATACTTCGTTTGTCAAATAACCAAAACAACTGACCACCTCTAACCTCTCTTATAAGCTGGTTTATAAGCCAATTTTGCTAGAAAAACGTTTGGCACCTCTTAAAGTTGACTTATAAGCGCATTGTGCTAAAAAAATGTTTGGCACATCTTAAAAGCTAGCTTATCAGCCCATTTTGCTATTAAAAAAAAAAACTTTAGGTTGTTTGGGATTAATGATTTCTCACCAAAAAGTCAGCTTTAGCCACTTAAAAAAAGAAGCAGCTAGGAATATACCAAACGAATTAGTTTTTTTTAGCATTAGCTTTTTTGTTGGCTTATTTTTAGCCAATAAACTAGCTTTTTAGCTAACTCTCAAAAGAAGCCTTGTGAGACAAACATGACATAAATAAACACTCATGCACAAACTCCCAAAATTAAAAAAAAAGTAGTCATAATAAGCAAATTCAATAAACTGCCACAAATAGGTTGAAGTGTTGGTTGAGTTGCAAATGAGTGGGGAAGAAGGTTGAGTAACTTGGAAAGATTGATGAAAAAATGAATATATGAGTGGTCATAACCTTTGTGGACAATACAGGCAAAAAGAGAAGAATGAAAAAGAGAATGATATGTATTAAAGAAGAGCAAAGATCTCTCTAGTTAAGGCAGCGGCATGCTAAACACATGCGGTGCAGAAAATTGAGTAGGCCGTCTAGATTTTGAATTTAGTCTTTATAAGTATGAGCATTTGCAAATTTTAGCATGGAAGCTCTTTGTGCCTTAAGGACATGGTGTCCAGAATTTCATTTGAAGTTTTTGAATATGCCATCATCAACGTATGTCAAATCGTAAATTGTATTAACTTTTCTTATTTCTCCTGTATTATGTTACAATGTATCAACATATCATACATACACATTTTTCTGTTTTACTGTTTTCAACTTAAGAAATAGCTAGAAGGAAAATGGGTATGCAGATTTTCTTTTCTCCTACCTATGGGTAAAAGGCAAAGAAGTGGATCAACAAATGAGTTAAATAACCAAAACCCAGGTCTAAGGTAGTAGTACAGGTCAAAGAAGTTGAGGCATGCATTCATCAATACTCAATTCATAAGTAATTAGCAGTAAAGATAAAAATGGAATAGTCTAAGAAATGACATTTGCATGGCATTGAGTTATCACAAAATCCACGAAATGAACTTTACAAGATTCAACTACTCTGTGATTCACAGTCCCAATCAAATTTTTTCTCAACTTATTTAAAATATGACAATATTTTAAGCCTCATTGAAGTTTTTCTCACCCATGCGGCAACAAGTTTGTGCTCCACCTCCTTGTAAATTGCCACAATAATTACAACTCCAATCTTTTGTTATCTTAATGCCAGATCAGCCCCTCTTTTTTCTTCCTCTTTCATTTTTATTTTCCTTGCAATAAAATAGTAAAAGAAGCTTTGGAAATGCGGAAACCCAAAAACTTACCTATTATAATATTGCTAAACCACAGAGAACCTTCAAATGTCCTTCACTCCTTTAAATTGTTTGCCTTTTGTCAAGGAAACATGTGGGAGAAACAGAATGGAAAGTAGAGCTTTGTACAGAGAGAAATCTAAATTCTTGTGATAAAGAGCTCTTAAGGTTTCAAACTGAGCAAAGGGACAGGTGTGTGTTTGTTTTGTTTTCTTTTGTTTTTGTTGTTGTTGTTGTTGCATTTATCAACTGCATAGTTCAATAGTTGGGACAACTTCATGAGAGGGGACAAAAAGCTATATCACAAATATTGTATCATTTGTTATCATCATGGTCATGATCATTGTTATTATTTTCATGTTACGGTTTTTATTTTTTATCTTCAAGCTATACTTTCTTGACTTTCTGTGAATTCCGGTACCTTTTACTGATTGTAATTGTGTTCTGTTTCTAGTTTAACAATTGTGAAATGCTAAAAGGTGAATTAATGAGATCTCTTTCCTTAATGCAGTCTAAGAGTGCAAAACGTAGACTTAGACAACCAGGCATTGTTCCTTTGGCTTATGCAAAAGTCATGAAGAAGCTGAACTTCTGTGGTTAAAGCATTTGGGAGTTGCTCAATCGGTGCTCTGCCTTTTTGGCTTTGAAGACAAAAAGTTCACCTCTGTTCTCTGTTTGTTTTCCTCGACATTTTGAAATACATAGACTGAAAATAGTGAAAACATTTTGTAGCAAGAGGATTGTAGCCATCATTCTGTTTGATTTGTTTGACTTGAGGGTTACTCGAAACTTTTATATGTTTTGTTTAATGTTTTGAAGAGGCAATCTTTTTGAATAAGAAATAGCCAACGATACCTTTAACCCTAACTGTTATGGTGGCTTTTGCACTGATATCGGTTTGTAAGAGTTGTCTGATTACTTAAGCTTATGTAACAAGGACATGGATGCAGGTGATGCATGTGAGATTTTTGACATATAGATAGCAAAATTTATAGTTCTTATTTGGAATAACAATGCGCGCAAAAGAGATTCAGTTTGTGCACATTTACAACTAAAACTGAAGTGAAATCCTTCCAGCAGGTTTATCGACTTACATTTATTCACGTTTCCCAGCTGCATGAAAGAAGGATTACAGCTCGGAATATTTACCATTCAAAAACTTCAGAATTCCTTTTGGTCCATTCTGTGAATTTAATGAAATATCTTCATATACTTTTGATGAATTTATTGTGCTAATATATATATATATATATTTCTAGAAAGTTTTGATATTTTTCTATCCATACATTTCTTATTATTTTTTTCAAAAAAGATAAATCAATTTTCTTTTTAATTTTAATTTCTTTAATAGTTCTATTTCAAATACAAAAATCAAATCACAGAAAGTAATAAAAAATCATATATAAATGAACAAAATGTTATTAAATTTGTTACTGTAGTCCATTTCATACAAATTTTGTCTATTTTCACTATCTCTCTGTTTGTGTGATTAGTTTTTTGTATTTATAGATTCACTCATTTTCGTTTTAAAGTCATGTTTTATTGCTAGATTAGGTTTAGTTGTGATTTGTGAAATTGAATGAGAATTATTAATGTGATAATATTAGTTTAGAAATATAATAATCTAAAGGAATATAAAGCTTTTGTGAGTGTTTGGGATTTATTTTCTTATTGACTTTTTTTGTTGTCTTATTTTCATTTTTAGTTAATTTTTTATAAATTTTTTAAAAAGTTGTAGGCTTCTAAATTTTACTTGATGAAACAAACTAAAAAATTATTTTTTTGTAAAAAAATTCAAAAATTTTTAGAAAAGACAAAAATAATAGATTATTTTGGGACTAATTTTGACTTTTTCAATTTTTTTTAATAAAAAATTTACTTTTTATACAAATTAGAAAAATAAAAAATTTTGAAATAAAATCACTAAAAAAAATTCATTTGAGAGATCCCAAACAACATCTTAGTTTGGCCAAGTAAAAGTATCTCCAAGGACTCTTTAAATGAAACATGTTTAGCTATTATAACCGACATTATCATATTTTAATCATTCTAATAGACTAGTTATTACCACAATTATTTTAACAAAAATTTTCAAGGTTAGCTGCATTTAAATAGTCTTGGGAGGCTCTTTAAATAATTTGTGTGTTAGATAGGTAAATTAAAGAGTAACGTTGAAATATATAGATAAAAAAGAAATTAAGGCAAAATAAAAAAATTACTTCTTTTATATTTTAGTTAGTAAAAAATAAATAGTATGGTTAGACTTGCTATAATAAAGGTTTACCCCATTGTTAATTTGATAAATTAGAAATATATCCCTTAAGATTTGATTAAAATACGATTTGACCTTGTGATTATGGAAATTACATCCAGCAATTTGAAGTTTTTAATTTCATAGATTATAGTTTTTAATAATGTCACAAATTTATTTTAATTAATAATTCAAGTAATTTTATCTTTTTGTAGGTTAGAAATTTTAATTATTTTAATTAATAATTCAAGTAATTTTATCATTGTGTAAGTTAAATTTTTTATTTTTTTAGTTAATTTTATTAAATAAAAAATTCTAACAAAGAATTATTTGTAATTTTTCAAATCACAAAAGATTATCTATATTTTAATCAAATTTTAAAATATGTATTTATAACTTATCGTTAATTTTAATATTTCGGAATTATCCAGGTGTACAATTTGTTTTTTTAGATTGGTAAAAGAAAAGAAGAAAAAAACTTTTAATTTGCTCGAAATTACACATTATGAGGATGCGATATGTATATGCAGAGACTAGTGCAACACCGAGCATTGGGAGACTCAAGTTGAAGCCCTTCGACTTGAGAAGCTCATCAAATTGCCAAGTCTCGAAACATTACTATTATGCCAAGTTAATCTTCTAATTCTCTGTTGATTTTGCTGATTTTCTTTTGTCGATGTTTCTCACTTTTCAGTATGATTTCAATTTGTGGATTGTTTGCAATTTGGCTGTGGGGTCTATAAAAGTTGATACAATTCTGTGATTATAATGTTAAAAAACCATTATTGGGTTTTTCTTTAGATTTAGTCTCCTGCCCAGTGTTCCCTTGATAATATAAATTTTAATGGAATTGGATGCGAAAAGAACCAAAAATAAAAAATAACTTCAATAGTTTTTTATGCCTAGTTTATGAACAGTGCATTTCATGCTCCTTAAATCCCTATGCGCTTGTTTGATTGCGCGGATTATAGCATAGGATTGCTATTATTAATTTATGAGACTCACATTCTATTGTTTGGTTGTAAATTTTATTTTTCAGATTATATTCTAATGATCATTGTATCTAATAAAATTAAAGGATATTTTTATCCTATGCCTAATAACGCAAATGCATATAATTTGAATTATATATTTCTATATCTATGTATCACACTGATCCAGTCAGCTAGATAACCAATCCTACCCTAATCTTATAAATTGTAAATCTCTTAGTTATTAATCCTGCTAATCTAACAGGGTCTATCTGTATCGAGATTTGTTAATCAAGTTCTTGCACTGCGCGCACAATACATGTGTAATTTGACTAATAATGGACAAAACCATAACATGTTGAAGCCCTATATGCTCATTACAAAATGTAACAGGGTTGAAACTTCTTTATACAATTGTTTATTAGGGGAAAATAAACACACACTAAAAGTTGCAAAACCGAAATTCTTGCCTACATTGAAGTAACTAATAGACATGCTATGTATGAACAGTATTTTTTCAGTGTCACCACTTACATCAGTGCTTGCGATCATTCCCAATACGAATATGATTATTAAAAAAAATCAACGAAAATGTTATTTTGTTATTTCAACAGTACAACAAAACAAAGCAAAGACCCAGTGCTGTATTATCTGTTGAAGTGATCAGTCTATACCTCTATTCTTTCATATGGAGTTTCCACAGTCTCAGCTCCCATGCCTTTATCCAAGCCATGCACCGGCGAACCCTTCTCGCCATCATCCTCTCTCACATGCCCAGCTGCAACGGCTCCTCCAAAGTCACTGATATTCCCAAAAGTCAAAATAACAATCCCGACAATTGCTGTGCAAAATCCAACCCCCAAAGCCCTGTTGATGTTTCCAGAACCAGCTGATGCAACTGCAAAGCCCGTGCATGTGCCGAGAGCTCTCACCCACGAGAACCACGCAGCGAAGGTGCCTTCTTTCCCTTCTGGTGAGCAATCCAGCAACAAAACCCGTCCAAAAGCGTGCAGGAGACCTGTTGCCACGCTTTGGACTGCAGAGAAGACCAAGACATTTTGCTTTGGCCAATTTTCAATGCGGTAAAAAAATCCAACCCCCGAGGTGAGTGCTGAGAGCATGAATCCTAGAAGCTGCATTTTCACTGCATCTGCCCTAATGAGATGCTGTAGAGGCTGTAATAGTGGGAGAGACAACAAAGGGAATATAAAGTATGTTAACCAAAGGTATAGTATGTTCACTGGTCTAAAGCAGAGTTGCCCTACTAAATAGAGTACACCTCCTGTGAAAATGCACATTGTTGCAAAAGAGGAAAGGAAAACACCGGCCAAGCTTCCAGCTGCATGAGGGTATTTGAAAATGGAGATCACATGGGAGTTGGGAGTTGAACTTGATGATGATGTATTTGCACCAGGTCTATTACCAATAAAGACATGGATTATTCCCGCGCACCATTGAAGCCCACTAAATATTGAGACTATCCATAAGCTGAGGAACCCCTCGTGGTGTCTGAGCATGTGATATGCAAAGGCAGAGATGATGGCGGAACCTAAACTACCGGCAGCTGTGGCATAAAGTGAGAGCCAGCCGGCCACATCTCTTCTGTCGGGAAATTGGTGTTTTGTGATACTGGAACCAACGAATCCACTGATCATTAAGCCAAGGTGGCGGGTGTGAGAGGCAACACAGACAGTGTTGGCTGCAACAATGGCAATAATATAAACTGGAAAGACCCATATGGTTTTGAAAAATCCAACAGGAAGACAGAAGAGAGCTCCGACAGCTGTTGCCGCTGCGGCGATGAGTCGTTGGTTTCGGCCAAAGTCCAGTTTGACTGAAAGGGTGCTTAGTATTGGTGCTGCAAGAATGAGTCCTAAAACCCAAGAAATTGAAGTCCACTCCAATGGAGAGAACTTCATAGTGCTGACCTTTATTCTTGCGCTTGTTAGTCCGTCATACCTGGAATTGACCACCATATGTTAGGCCTTAATATTTGCTTAGATGTCACAAATTTTTTTTTTTTTTTTGTTTTGGGTAGCCTAAGGCCCCTTCTAGATGCTTTTTCAAAATTTAAGATACAAAAAAACTTACAGTTGCAAGTCCTTTTCCAGACAGTTGAAGCCCTTGGAGTTCTTCCCCCATTCTGGCAGAGGGTACTTTATCGGCCACACGATTTGGCTGATGAGAAGAGGGAACACAACAGGAATGAGAACTGTGTGAATGAAGTACGAGCATAGCCCGTTAAAAAACCAAGCCAAAACCTCTGCTTTTGGTGGCTTATCATAAAACCCTGCATATCCCTGGTAAGCCTCCTTAGCCCTTTGGATTTTCACTGCTGCACCATGAACATCCATTGTTGCCATACTTTCCTCCTCATCCTTAGATCTTAGCATCTGCTCCGTGTTGAGGATCGGGGGCACACCAGGGAACTCAAACAAGCAATAACACACAAGTTTTAACGTGGTTCGGCAAGTCGCCTACGTCCACGGGCAGCGGATTCACTATATTGAACAAAATGGTGAATTACAACACTCTCTGTAATTCTCTCTCTCTTTGCTCTCAACTCACACCTCTCAGCTCCACATCTGATATCTATATCCTCTCCCTCCCGTCTCTATTTATACACAAAGGAGTAGGTGGGAGAGCCCTCATTCTTTGACTTTTGACATGGTTGGTGGCCTTCCATTGTTGACATGAGGTTGGTGGCCTTCCATTGTTGACATGAGGATCACCCCTTTCACATGGGGTGACCTCCAGAATCTGTAGCCAATTCAACACTCCGGCCTTGGCACGTCTTGGACTTCAGGAGAAATGTCCGCCATTCGCACGCTTCAATTTGCTCCCTTTTCAAGCCGGGTTTTTGAAGATTCAGAGTAACTGCAGGAGAGGGAAGAGACGAGAGGAGTTTTTGGATAGAGCATGAGAGAGTTGACATGGGCTATAAAATGGGCTGAGAATTCACAGCTGGATGGGATACTTCCTAGAATCCGAAGAACCTCGGATTCATCACTTGGGCAGCTGATATAAAAGGTATATCAGCATCAAAATTAGCATAGTCTTGTTTGCCACTAGCATTTATACCATTTGACAGTTCTTTTAACAACTAAATTAAAAAAAAGTATATAAAAATGGGAATATAGTATTGGATTGTTTGTCAGGTATGTGAATATGGCTATGAGATCAGTAATCAAGCACATTCCAGTGATGATACCAAGCATCATATGATTGTTATGTGGCATGTCACTAGGAAGAAAATGAACTGGCGCTCAGAGTGTGTTTTTGTACATAATCATGAGGATTGTTTTGTTGTAATTTTGTTTTTTTTGTTTTTGCTTTTTTGTGTTTTTGGAAAAAAATTTTTTTTTTTTTGAAAATACTTCTTGTTTTCATTTTTTTGCGAAAATAGTTTATAAGAATTCGGCAATACAAATTTCACTCTCTCTTTAGGTTATTTCATGCGGATTGTAGACTAAAATGACAGTTAAATATCTGTTCAATTTAACAGAAGGTAGGTGTAAAACACGTTTGACATAAAGATATTGTGTTCATATCTAAATATCAAGGTAAATTGCACGGGAAATAAATTATAAGGGGTAAAGTATATTTTGAGCCCTCAAATATGACAAAATTACTCATAGTTTTACACAATGAGATTTTTGTGTATAAAGATTACGTGTTGGATATTTATCTCATCCTAAATAAGTTATAGGTCTCCATCACTGCTTTGAAGAAGTTTTTATTTTAATTTTAAAAATTAGTATATAGATTTGGACTTGTTAACCCAAGTGTGATTGTGTGTGTTTTTCCCTTGAGACCAAAAGAAATAATATGCAAATCCAGCATACTTTTCAATCCAAACTTTCAAAGCACAACTCGAAAGAATTTTCCTGGGAGTAGATTTTTTTTTTTTGAACGGCGAAGAAAAGGATCTTTATTGATGGAACATACACAGTATGACAAAAACATCAATAAAGAGGAGCTAAAAGCTAAACACAAGCTTCAAGCTCCAGTTGGCAAGAAACCAACAAGAAAAGAGAACAGATATGAACAAGATGCAAATCCAAAAATACAACAGCAGCTTCAAGCTCCAGCTCGGGACTGATATGGACCAAATAGAACTGATCCAAGAATACAGAATTGATCCAAACCAGCTACTAAAATCAAAACTGATACGGACAGTAGCAGAATTTGCAGAATTACACTATGGACAGCAGCAGAATTTGCAGAATTACACTATGGAACAGCAGCAGCTTGGAACTGATATGAACAAACAGAACTGAACCAAAATGCAGCAGAACTTGCAGAGTTACACTATGGACAGGGTAGAACCACCTGAATAAAATAGAACCTGCAGAATAACACTACAGCAGCAACAAATCTACGCAGCAAAAACTGATACAGACAGCAGCAGAATCTAACACAGCATGATTACACTACGCAGACACCAAGCCAACCAAAGCAACTCAAGTGCGAATGCATTGCCTGACACCTGAAGCATTGAATTGGAAATCATTGATGGAGAATGGAAAGTGGTTGGAGGAGGATTTTAACCAAATCGCTAGCCTGAAGATGATGAGATCCTGCAGCAGCTGGATGTTAAGATGGGAGGCTTGAAAGAGGCACTCGTTTCTGATCTTCCAAATGGACCAGAGGGTGACCAAAGGAATGGCACGCCAGATTCTCCTCTCCTTTTTCTTGCAGATGAACCCTGCCCACCACTGCAGTAGATCTTCAACAGAGGCAGGAACCACCCAGAGAATACCCCACCATTGTAATAACCCAGTCCAAACTTTCCACACCAAAGGGCAGTGAATCAGAACATGCTGGACAGTTTCCTGCTGCGAGTTACAAAAGAGGCATGAGGTGGCAGCCGATCTATCCAATACGCCAATCCGTTGCAAGAAGACAGAAGTTTTAACCTTGTGTTTCCAAGCAAGCCAACCGAAAAATTGAATTTTAGGTGGTAGATAATTGAGCCAAATCAAATCACTAGAAGGAATAGTGTTACCCAAGGCAAGATTAGAATGATTATAAAGAGTGGAAACAAAAGACTTGCTAGGATGAAGTGCTGCCCACGTAGCTCTGTCATCAATTCCTAGATTCAATGGAGAAGGAGTAGCTAAGGTGGTAATGAGTCTGTGAAGTTCGTCCTTTTCCCATTCGAAGAGGGCTCTTCTGAAGTTAAACACCCAAATGGAAGATGTGGTTGACACAAAGTCCTTGAGAAGTCCTTCCTTACTATTGGACAATTGAAAGAGCCTGGGGAATACATCTTTAAGGCAATGAACCCCACACCATTGATCATACCAAAACTTAATACGACAACCATTCCCCACTTTTAGATAAAGATTACTAATATAGAACAACAGAAGGGACTCATGCTTTTCTGCTGCTGCCAATATGCCACCCCAGATATTAGAATGATGAATTGTAGAGCAAAGGTTAGGAATCCAAGACCCTCCTAGAAACTTATATTTACTACATAAGACTCGCTTCCATAATGAATCATGCTCTGAGGCAAATCTCCACCACCATTTGAGTAGCAAACACACGTTCACATCCCTGATTCGTTTGATGCCCAATCCTCCTTGCTTTATGCTCTTTGTTACCTCCGACCATTTAACAAGATGGATCCTCCTCTTTAGATCTGGGCCTCCCCAAAGAAATGAAGCTTGAGTTTTGTCTAACTCCTTAGCTACGCCTTCAGGTATTTTAAACAAAGACAAGTAAAATACAGGCAAACTTGACAGCACTGCTTTCACCAGAGTCAATCTCCCAGCATGGGAGAGAAACCTCCTTTTCCACCCAGCAAGCCTCATTTTGAAAATACAAATTTTAGGGTTTTTTTTATTTATTTATGATTTTTTTGGGTATTTATTTACAATTTTTAGAAACAAGAATTATTTTACTTTTTGTGGGTCTTTAGACTAAAAGAACATGCAAAGGGGAAAAAAAGGAAAAGAAAAGAAGCACCTCTTTTTTTGAATTGTTTTTGTCTTTAGTGATTTTTTTTCAAAATTAAGTCAAATTTTTTTTTAAAAACTTTTTCGGTTCATCTATGTAGATGAATCTAGAAAGCAATATTTAAAAAAAATCTAAAAAAACTTTAAAAAGCCAAAATAAGCAAAAAAAAGTCTACTAGTTTTGGTTTATTGTTGTTTTTATTTTTTAATTTTTTGGTTCATTTGTCGAGTTCAATCTTAAAATCTAAATTCTTTTAAATTTTTTTAAAAAAATTCACTAAAAACAAAAATAAGTTAAAAAAAATTCACCAAATAAGCAAACATAAAACACCCACCTAGGGTATGGGTGTTTTGAGAAGTGACTATTTTAATTGATTTTTTAATTTTTTATGATAAAATTATAAAAAAATAAAGAGAAGAATTAACTTTTCAGTAGTGATTTTATTTTATTTTTTATTTTTTTATTTATTATTTTTTTTTTCACTCCTATTTTAAATGCTTGTCAAAGCACCCCTTACTATGATGTATATGGTTCGGCTCCTCCCATTTATGTATGAGTTTTATTTGTTACTCTTTGTTTGCAGTCTTTGTTGTGTGATTTGTGTAGTTGTTTGGTGTATTGTATGCTTGTGATGATATCGTATTAGGCTTTCTTATTTCGAGATTACTTGGAATTTAGTTTTTTAATATTTTTTAATTTTTTTTACAAAAAGACAAAATATAAAGAATGATTTGACAAATTATAGTGCTTCTTTGACAAAAATTTTTTACTTCCCAAACAAGGCCCAATAATGTAAGTATCGTGACATTTTTAGATGGATCTTGTTAATGAGTGCAATTGGTTAATTAATTTTAAAATTATTATGTATTCACCAATGTTAGTACCATGAATGAGGAGTACCTCAGTTATTCACTCATAAAGGATCCAATTTATACACCTGAGGAACAAAAAAGGTTATATCAGGATGGTTGTTAGCTTATGCTTTTTTAATTTTTGGAAAGCTATATCAAACAGGCTTTATGTTTTGTCGCACCACTTAAGCTAACTTAATTTTAGGCAAACCCATGAATTGACAAACCACACCCCATGGAAATTATAGTTCCTTTAGGGGTGGTTTGGGTATTGTGTTCTTTTTTAGTGATTTTTTAATTTTTTACAAAATGACATTTAGATAAGTAGAGAGAGAGGATGGATTTTTTGTAGACACTTTTTGACTTTTATAATCCATGCTTCAGCCCTGGAATTAAGGTAAACGATTTGATCAACTCAATAATGGAAGCACGATAAGGTAGGGGTGAGCAGCGGATATATCGATCCGTCAAAACCGACCGAACCAAACCGATCCGTCGCATTTTGGACGGATGCGTGATGACGAGCGGACGGTTGCGGATTGATTTTCTCAAATCCGCCAATTTGGCGGACGGATGGCGG